CCAATAAGATTGCTGTATTTTGCCTAGCGGCCAATCAAAAGCCTTTTCATAAAAATCTGTTCCAAAAATTGGTTCTACCCATTATTTCAGCATTATTTTCAAAAAAATGCTTGGATGAACAAACAAATATTTCAAGCTGAGATGAAACGATTGAGCGCTTTTTTGATGAAAAAATCGCCAAATGAGAAATTTTATCTTATTTGTGATAATTTAAGGTAAGTTTTACAAAGAAAAATACATATTTAATTGTTTTTCTAGTGCTCATAAAATCCAGGACAAGTTCAGCAATTTGGAGCTTGTCTTCTTGTTACCTAACACAACTCCACTCCTTCAACCGCTGGATAGTGTTCCTTTTGCTGCCCTAAAGATGAAGTATAGAAAATTTCAGCGAGAATACGAGCGTGATAATCCTGGTGGAAAAATATCGGAGGAGACGGCTGTTAACTCTTATGTTGAGTTATGGAATGCGATTCGTCCTGGTTGCTTTATGAAAGCCTGGAAAAATTGTTCTCTTTTCTTCGGAGAAGAGAATAAAGAAGTCCAAGAAGAAGTGGTCGAAAAAGAAGTCCAAGAAGAAGTGGTCGAAAGAGAAGTCCAAGAAGAAATGGTCCAAGAAGGATTGATTGAAGAAGAAGCTGGAGAAGAAGACATAATAGAAGAGCAGCTCGAAAAAATGATTTTGGAGGAAGAACTTGATCGTCCTCTTCTCACTCCGCCTTCTCAAGAACAAAAAAAAAGTCCCGTGCCTTTAGTTCAACCTTCAATCTTATCTTTCTTTAAGAAAAAATAAGATTTTTGATCAGAATAAACTCAGTTTTAGAAAAAACAAAAAAAGAAAATTTTTAGTCCAGCAAAATGTCCAGAAATTTGATAAAAGAGGTTTTCAAAAGTGTTGCAAGATAACCCCTTAAAATTTGAAAAATGTCCAGAAATTTGATGTCCAGAAATTCCATAAAAAACTGTAATACTGTCTTAACGACAACTTGATCATATAAAAGAAATGTTATAGCCTATAGCCTATATATATATAGCCTATATAGGCTATAGGAAGTTGGAAAACAGATAGAACACAAAAACGCAGCTACCTTTAGAGATGCAAAATTATATGATATCACTTATATGATATAAGTTATATCTGACGGTAAAGAGTCATGGGCCATAAATAATATATATATATATGTAAGGTTTGAGACTATGGGCGAAAAAGGATTAGATGAAGTCTGGGATCGAACCAGAGATTTCCGCCCCGCGGTTGGGATGTGTTACCACTACACTACTTCACCGTGATCACAATCGGCCATTTGGGCGAGATATTCCGAGCGAGCGACTGACAAGATCGCTCCTCACATCCCCCAAAGATTTCGACATACAGATTAGGTTCACGGTTATTTCGCAACTTATATCATAATCTCGGGCCCTTAAAGCCCAGGTGACTCTGGACGCTCGTATCTTATACTGCCTTAGACGACATTCAGCTCTATGAACCTTGAGTTGGAATAGGCCATTAAAGGCATTACGGAGACTTCGTTCTTTCGAACTATAACGAGTGACATGCCAGCACTCGTAGTTCCCACCATTCTCATACCAGTTGGGAAGCACCACATTTCGTGGCTCTATTACAGAGGTGGAACAGGCCACTTAAGGCATTACAGTGGCTCCGTTCTATCGAACTCAAGCGAGTACCGCTCTTACTCGCAGTCACTCACCACCTTCAAACCATCTGGTGGCTCTGGCTGAGCGCTAGGCCTTATGTTAGGTTAACGATGCGTTGACCTCTGTCATCTCCAATTTGTAAGGTTTGAGACTATGGGCGAAAAAGGATTAGATGAAGTCTGGGATCGAACCAGAGATTTCCGCCCCGCGGTTGGGATGTGTTACCACACTACTTCACCGTGATCACAATCGGCCATTTGGGCGAGATATTCCGAGCGAGCGACTGACAAGATCGCTCCTCACATATATATATATATATATAATATATATAATAATATTAATAATAATATTTTATATAATATATATAAAATTTCTATATATAAGAATAATTTTAGAGGGTCTTTTCTAAACAAAAAGTCTCATCTTATGATAGCGCTCCTATCCTTCAAATATTACGGACGACAATCAATGGGATCGTGGTCAGTTTTTTTATGCGGTAGCCCTAAATATATAGGGGGTCATCCTTTAAACTCAAAAACGAAGGAGCGAGGGAAGGGGGGGAATCAACCATTCGGGCCGTCGAGCTCAATTAAAATTCAAGGCGAGGAAAGGGAATTATAACTTAAAAATTTTGTACGGGCGCGGGGGCCAAATAAGAAATTTCTTGCGGTCGCGGGCGGGCGCGGGGGCCAGATCCGTAATTTTTTGCGGGCACGGGGGGCGCGGGCGTTTTTTCCAACACTGATTGAAACCACCGGTAGCGCAACTCAAAGCTCGTTCATGACTCGAACGAGGCAATCTCCTTTTGGGGCTAGAATAAATCTGCGTTGAGATTTTAAAAGAATAGAGTTTAATCTTCCGTCATAAAGATTTGAAAAATCGGGGGTATCCCATTGCGATGGGAGGCGCTCCGGTGCACGAGAAACGCGTCCTCGAAAGGGACGCCAAGAGCGCAGTCAGCCCGCACTCTCCCCGACAGCCAGACAGCCCGCATAACCGAGCCAGTTATACCCATAAAATTCGATTTTTTGAAATTTGAATATGTTTAATGAGAAAGAGAGACTCCTTCACTTGGTGGTGCGAGAGAGCAGAAACTTTCTGCCAGAAAGACTACTAGATATTGCTTAAATATCTGCTGAAAGTTTTACAATTTGAAAATAATTTTCTTCTTTTTCCATCATCATGAACATCATGAACAAGCAAATGAAGCCAAGAATATGAAAATACAGAAATTTTGGGACTTTATACGGCCAACAAAAAGAAGATACAACTTGATATAACTGATAAAATCGCCAGGTACTCATCTTAGTGAATTTTGGTCAGCTCAAATTGACTTATTTCGAGTCTTAAGCTTTCAAGATGAAAGTAATCGAGCATAATCTTTCGCTTTCCATCGAGTTTTGCCTTGGTCTAATAGGGACATTTCACGAGAAAATGAAAATAAGTAGCCAAAAATACAAAGAAAGGTACACTTCAAAATAAAATGTGAAAATAACATTGAGAAAATAAGGTACAAGAGAACAGATAACAATCGGAGAGCAAGAATCCCAAGAAATAGAAAAATTTTAGCGTTATCAAACTAAGTTGTAGAATCACCCAACTAAAGGCTTTTTTTCGAATAAGCTGTCATCCAAAAAATTAGGGTTTCACTGTATTTCTTTTTATCGAAAAAGCGGTTATTTTTCAGGACAAGATTTTCGACATAAGATGATTCAATGGAACCTAACTTATTTGCTCATTACTTAAAAACACTTCTGAATTTTTTCTTAATGTATAGAATAATATGCTGCATTGTTTTTTTTCCTCGAGAAAAAGCCGACAAAAGAATAATGACAATCATACGGTCTTATGACTATAGCCTATAGTCTATAGGTCTGCTCGTTTCATAAAAAGAGCTCATAATCTCGCCAAAATCATTTGCACGTCTGACGCCCGCTCGCCTCACCACTGCTCTTCGGCGCCGCCTACATTTTTTGAAATGGCCTTCCGCGCCACTTTATGAGCTTATTAAACTGTGTGAGAGTCTTTATTTCGTGGATTGCTTCTGGTGGTTGCATGTCAGCATTTCTAGGAAGCATTCTTCCGTCTCGGAGCCGCGCGCCTACACTGATAAGCAAGCAGCTCAACCTTTTTCTGTTCACTTCACACTCAGTCTTACAAATACATAGGGACTTTCACGGGAAAGCGATAACCATTCGATTTTCGCAAAAATTTCCTCATAAATATGGATTTTTTAGCGGTTCGACCTGAATTAATCAACTTATGCAACTTACGCAACATACGCAAAATACGCAGCGTTCTGCGTATTTCAGGTTAAAGCGAAGAAATTCCAAAATAAGAATGCGATGAATAGATCAAGACCAAACGTAAACTTGCGCAATTATCTACCGGCCGTTGTAATTTAATTTCATTTTTTTACGAGTTTAACAATCAATATTATTTTCGAAGGATATTTTTGGGGGGTACTGAATAGCGCCGCCTTGCGCCGCCTTGCGCCGCCCTGCGCCGCCCGGTTCGGTACAAACCGGGTCTCGTCTGACCAAATCCTGACCAAACTAAATGATCAGAACAAGAGCGAAAGTTGGGCCTCGCTAACATAATGAGTTCTCTACCAGAAAATGCGCGCGTAAGGGCCTTTGGCCCGTCACGTGCTTAATAAATTGATGATTTGATGCGAAAATCTGGAAATAATTAAGACTCCCAATAATTACACCCTAAATTATTAGTTTTCTTTTTTCTGGTGGTCAGATTATTCAAATATGCGAGAATAAACGTTTTGATAAGAAAACAGAAAAAAATCATCATTGAAACGCCGAAAATCTACGATAAGAAAAATTTTAAGCAGGACTGGGCGGCGCAAGGCGGCGCAAGGCGGCGCTATTAAGTGACTCCCATATTTTTATAACAATCAAGATGAAGGATTTTTAAAGAATCCAAAAGGGATGATCAGGGTCAGTAGTAAGGGTTAAAATAATGGGAGATAGTTAGAATGATATTTTTATTTATATTAAGATGGCGGTTATTGTCAAAAGATGCATTCGAATGGAGACGGCCGTCGTAATAGAAACCCAAAAGATGCTTAATAAACATAATATAAACAAGTCTTTCCGGTCGCAAAAAAGTATTTGTACCGAAAAACTTCAATAAAGAAAAAGATTGTTTATTTAAAATAAAATAAATGTATAACAGAAAATATCAAAATAAAGAACTCAAAACTGGTCGCTGTTTCAGACAGGAAATCGTCTTAAAAATCGTCGTCTCAATATCTCACGTCTACAGGCGAAGCATATGTGTTGTAAAAACACATATTAAAAGTTTCGCCGTCGCTTGTCTGACAGCTGACTTACGTGTGGATCGCTTGTGCGTTTTCAATTTGACGAATCTGTTCTTCACGTGCGTTTTTTTCTTCGACTGGAGCAGCTTCCATTTCCATCGTTTCTTCAGCGTAGGCGGTTTCGTCAGTTTCTCAGCTACCGCCTCGTCTTTAGCTACGATAGTTTCCTCAGCCTCAACGCCTTCCTCAACAGTCTCGTCGGCGACGGAATCAGCCGCTTCGACTTCGAGTTCAAATTCATCTGGATCTTCTTCTGCTTCTCGTCGAAGTAACTATAAATTAATGAATCATAATTTCTGAAGGTATTTTACCATAGCCTCACGTTCAAGCAAGTTTTGCTCTCGTTGCTCGATTGCATCTTCTCTTAAAGCCAATGCCACTGAAATATTAAATAAATTTCAAATTAATATACCATCATTTAACCTTCATTTCATTCAATCGTCTTCCTTTTTCCTGAAGTGTATACTTCATGAAGAGTAATTAATCCGCCCGTTGATTCTGAGCTTCATGCTTCTGATCGCTGCTTATTAATATGACAGATTGATCCTCAAATTAGTTTAAATAAGTATAATTTAATTCTGACTTACCTTCATGGCCCAAAAAAATAGTGCGATGAGAAAAATGATAAAAATTTGATTATTAATATCAACTCTAGAAAATTTCGAAACTTAAAAACATCCCGCGCCGGTCGACATTTGACCCGGTAGTGATCAATTTTTCATCGAGTAAATAAGAGAATGCATGCTAGCGGTCGACTTGAATGCGTAATGGATGCACTTGAACCTGCGCTTTCTGACCATGTCAATTGAAAATTGATCGGAGAAAAATTCGACAAGCTAGAGTCATTGTAAGCCTTATTTCCTCGAAAAATGATTGTAATTTTAGCCTTTTCGTGAAAATTGAAAACTTTTTTGGAAAGAATCAAGTTCTTGTGATTTCCAACGAAGTACAAGAGATTCTCCCGGTACAGGTTTCGTAATTACGATTTCCGTCCGTTTTTTAGCCAAATTTCTTGTGGTCGAGTGGTTATTTTTACATTTGATCTCGAGAACACGGACCTTGTAGAGTAAAACTAAACCAAAAACAAAATCCGATTCGAAAATAGAAAGCTCTCACAATCTGCGCAAAAGATGATCATTTTCTTCATCTTTCAACAAGCTCTAGCCAACCGATTTTTAATGAACGACTCTGGAAAGGCAGCATTCCTTATAAAGTCCAAAATCGATAAAAACCTGCAGCTGTCTTTGGACATTCCCGCCTTCAACTGGACTCATATCGATAATCGCTGCTTCAACAATCACTTAACTAAAGCTTATGCTCGCAATAGCACGCACCAGCTCTTCAATGAAATCGAAAATTGGATCAACGAAAATTTTAAAGAACAAGAATCCCATCGTAATAAGATCGCCGATTTATCGATGACCGATTTCGTATCAACTTCTCATGGCCGTCACGCAAATCTCAAACTAAAGCCGCACTTAAAACTCTCAACAAGATATCAACAACAAACGCGAAAGAAACTGTTGACCTGGTCAACATTGTCAACATGGAAGTCGAAGCTGGCGATTTCGATTGTCTAACAACCAGCTTCTGCATAAGTAGCAAAGTCCAAGCATATTTGGTCCTCAGAATGACTAGAAGACTAGAATTTCTTCATGACTCGTAAATCAAACAAAATAGAAGCTTTTAGCTTGGACTGCGAGATTTCGGAAACGTGTGATTTTCACGATTTTCCTTGAACGAGAATAGAAATTAATTCCTTTGAAATTATATTCATGAACTCGTCTAAACAGTTCTATTTTTTGTCAGCATTTGCGCGTGAACGTCCGGCTGCCAGTAACCTCATCTGTATTGAGCTTTTCAAGGCGTCTTTTACATAGCGCAGTTTATATTCTTAACCCGTTAACTGGGCATCCGATCTTATGCGTTAACGGGCGCGTGGCAGTCTAAACTTTATCAAAGTACACTACTGAGAGTGCAAAACTTACGTTGGATAGGATAGATAACCCCTTGTAGTTAGCAAGGCTTGAGGATCCATTCCATCAGGCAAATCATTCGAAGAGTTCGGTTTCAGATGATAAACCCGTTCCACATTGCAATCTCTGGTGATATCCTGCGTAAGGGCGAGACCAAGTGCTCGGATCCAGCCCATGTCATTGTAAATAACGGGAAGGCCTGAGTTTCGATAAAGAAGTTTCAACTGTGATTGGAGAAAATTGACGCATTGCATGTATCGTCGAGGGTTTTGACCTGGAGAAACGTCGCCCAGAAATGTTCGAGCTACAAGCAGTTACTTAGGGAATGTCTTGGAGAGGAAATGTTACCTCTTGTTTTGTAATATGCTCGACCTAACGTACAGTAACTAGGGCCGATTCGAGGCAGATGAACTTCAGACAGACTCATGAATCCGGGAACATCGAACTTGCTGGATCCAGATCAGATTGTATCTGATGATTTTACCAACCAAAAGAAATTATCAACGCTGTTGATAAGGGCCTGTGGCCCTTGCGCGCAAAATCTGGTAGAGAACTCATTTTTGCAGGAGGCTGACTTTCTATACTTTTGCGCCTCCATCTCTGAAAGATGTTGTTTTTCCAAACGAAAAAATGTTGCCCTTGTTGTCATTTTAAGGTTCTGAAGACTTGAACCCGTTTTTTCGACGACCCTGAATATGTCACGAATGTTATGAATGTCACGAAAACATGTCTTTTCCTCGTGACATATTCAGGAATATTCTAGAGACTCATGGTGGTATCACTTTTTTATAAAAAATGAAGTAATTTGAGGCTAAATTTTCTTTTTCGGAACAAGGGACGCTTCAGATGGACCAGAAGATATCTCCATTGTCATTTTCAGAATCATTTTTACGCCATCCTCAAGAGAAGGTGACAGAATCTGATTCTCGTGACGGAAGAGCTGCATGAATGGAGGTGATACCAGCTGGTGGTAGGGAGTGATAATCCCGTAGTAGGCGAGCATCGAGATCGAAGCGACGAGCATCACGAGCAACGCTGCGGGGGCTTCTTCTCTAACTGCCACCAGAAGGGAGAGGAGACTCGTGGCGTACTCACTAGTAGCGCCAGAGTTCCTGGTGGCGTTCTCCACAGTCGACACGTGCTGGAGGAGAGAGCGGGCATTCTTGGAGACAACTCCAAAGCGGGATCCTTTATCCTTCGAAAGGTTAGAGATGATCTATTAAGCCCTCCTACTACGGGATTATCACTTCCTACCACCAGCTGGTATCATCTCCAACCCTTTCCTGATCAAACAGCTTCGGGACATTACGGCCGACGTGATGAAGGACGGCGTCATCGAATTGGAGGTAGCACGTCTTCATGTTGCTCACGACTTCCTCCAAGTAGGCGGCATTCAGCGATTCGAACGGTAGTATGATCTCAAAATTCGGCCAAATGCCGAATTTTCATATACTCATATTTTGAATGAATAATTCGGCCAGAGTGGCCGAATTTTTCGACCGAAATTGAAGGATTTTTTGGATGAAAAATTCGGCCCCCAAAAGTAAAGGCCGCGCCCCTATAAAGCCACTCGTTTATTAAGAGTCTCCATTTTATCAGTAGAAAAGTATCCAATCTAATGGTTCCTAACCTCGGGGCTCCGCCCCTTCGGTCCTAAGATGCCGGGGTCTAGTCTTTTGACTTTTATTGTGAGAAAGACGACAATTTACCCGTTAACTGGGCACTCAATATTAGGCGTTAACGGCCACGAGGCCCTGAGACGGCCTTGCACATTTTGGCGTTTTACGAGAAATCGTAATGAGGAAATTCATTTCTAAGAAGACAAGATGATTCACAAGCGTCTGCTCTTTCTTTTATATGTTGTTTTTAAGTTTTTCTGATTCGTTTACTGGTTGAAAACGGAGGTCAAAGTTACGTCACTTTTGGCGCTGAAATTCAAAAAAAGGAAAACGGGAGCAAATTGAATTACGCTTTCCCTTTTTTTCGCTGACTGAAGTTTTTCTTTCGCCTCTCATTGTCCGAATTTCAGGCCAATTTTTTCCGGAATCGAACACACGGATAGAGAATCGATCAAAATTTTCAAAAATATAAAAATTTTTTATAAAAAATTGAGTCTACGCCTTTTTATCGCGCTCCAAAGGCGAAAAGGCCGTGAGAGGGCCTCGCGCCTATTAACGGGTTAAAACCAACATTCTCGTACCCCAAATACTTTGCACCGTCAGTTCCCCAAAGATTATATGTTGATCGGGGAAGAGATAAAAATATCGTTTTTTTATCAGATACTGCGTGCGCCTGAAGTGGGGGACGGGCGGCTACGTTACAAATTTGAAACGCCGTTACAATTTTGTAACGCCGTTACAAAAATCCAGATTATTTTCGCAATAAAAATGAATTTCCATTCCGAAATTCTTATTATTTAGGACATAATATGGTGGTTTTATACTGAATATAATTGGAAAACGGGAATCAATCTCGAATATGTTTATTAACCCTGATAGGTGTGAGCAGAAAATAATAAAATATATATATTATATTTTATGTTATACCTGTGAAGTCAGGGAAAAGAATGATAAAATTTTAGGGGTACAGTCGTTTTTATAGTATAGGACACCACCCATCGGTGGCACGGAATTAGACTTGGTCGTATGAACTCGGCGTTGGCCATATCGCCAAAGCTGGAATAGAGAGAGGCGAGCTGTCAAGGTATGATGGAGTGAAAGCCTTGGCGTTGGGCGCGTCACGGCTCACTGAGCATAATTACGTTGACCACGCGCGCTAGAATCCTGTATTTCGAAGTGAAAACAGTAGGAAAACCACTACATATTTTCCCGTTTTTTTGTTTTTGAAGCGAAGCGTCCGTTGAGCGTAGAAATTTTTAATGTTCTTCAATGAAGTCCCAAACATTTTCTGGTAGAGAATTGTGCTGGATGGAGTTTACGACTTGTAGAGATTCCGAATGTGAGATTTCTGCATGATTGATTCGGTAAGTTGAGTAATTGTGAGCAAGATCATTTGTGAAATTTTGATGTGAGTCCTCGCGTATTCGAGCTGGTCGGAAAACATTTTTGAGTCGATTTCTAGAAATTTGAAAGCGCTCCTCGAGGTGTTATATCGTTTTTCATAGGTTGCTTGAAATTGTTTCATCAATTCGATGCAAGTTTTTTTTATCGACCATAAGCTGGTAGAGAATTGCTGTTTCACTTATCCAGTTGAGCAAACTGTCATGATTTTCATAGAGCAATTCCTGAAGGTGGTTGATATCAAAGTAAAAATGATCTTTAAGGGACTTTGCTTCGTTTTTCATTTCTTGCAAAAAGTCGAGCAGCGATTGCAAGTTTTCTTTTGAATTTGAGTTCGGTAAGAAGTGAATTGGAATAGAAAC